TCTTCAGTAGCTAGGATTACAGGTGTGAGCCCCCGGCGCCCAGCACAGTGTCTACTGCTCACAGACCCTGTCCATGTCAGGGCGGTGATTATTTATTATTATTATTATTTTGTCAGTTGTGGGGCTTGAACTCTGGGTCTGGGCACTCTTGATGAGCTCTTCAGCTCAAGGCAAGTGCTCTACTACTTGAGCCACAGCACCACTTCCAATTTTCTGGTGGTTAGTTGGAGATGAGCCTCATGGACTTTCCTGCCTGGACTGGCTTTGAACCACAATCCTCAAATCTCAGCCTCCTGAGTAGCTAGGATTACAGGTGTGAGCCACCAGAGCCCGGCAGGGTGGTGATTATTCATACCCACATCTCAGGATTCTCTTGTGAACTCCCCTTCTGATTGCAGGCCTTGCCCTGGGGTGGGGGGAGGGGGGAACAGTCAGTGTTGGGTGCTTTATAGAGTAGCTGCTCAGCAAGCGTACTCATAAGAAACTAGAGGTGATTTGAAAGTAGCACAGCGTCTCTCTCCAGGGCTTTGCTGTGCAGTAAATACTGCGACACATCATAAATGCTATGAGCATGTCTTCGGTAATCGACACCTTCTCGAATGTTCTCCTTCCCTGTTGCTTGTGGATATTGGCAGCAGCCATACCCCTGCCCCAGTAGGCAGTATCAGCTGTCAGCTGTCCCTCTGTCTTTCAGATTAGGTTCCTTTATGGAGAGTGTCCCATTGTTCTGCGCTTCAAGAATTTGTACACCCTGCCAAATGCAGGATAGCCAGTGAGAGCCCCACCTCCACCCCCCACCCCAGACCTCAGCGCGGGAGCCCCGCCAGCCAGCCATGCGGCCCCAACGCGTGTGGATCACGGCAGAATTGTTTGCAAAATTCTCATCCTCTTGGGTCTCATCCAGGCCTAGAGTGAGGAGCGCGCGCTGATCTCTCAAGGGACCGGAAGGAAGGCTGTTGCTTGGGGGTGACTTGGAGCACTTTTGGGAGCCATCCAAGACAGCCAGCGCTCATTAAATCTGACTTCCCTTCCAGCAAAACACCAACTGTGTAGAGCCCCACAGACGGCGCTCTAGCCGTACAGCGCGCCAGCAACGCAGAGCCTGTGTCCTGCACACACGCCAGTGCACACGGCTTACACAGTCTTTCTACTTGCAAAGCTGGGTGGGAGAGATGAAAAAAATATATATATATTGGTGTGTTTTGTTTAGTATGTAAGTTTAACATATATCATGTATTGTACACACACACATATATATATTCCCCAAGTGACAGACATGCAGAAAGTAAAAGAGAGCTCGCATAAAAAAACAATATCGTATGTCATCCTGTGACCTATGCTGCCTTTCAGAACAGTCTGACTCAGCAGCCACTAGGGGATTCTTGGATGTCCTTCTGGCTGTGAGTTCAGGATACACCCTGGCCCCATTCATTAACTCCACCTTCGTGCTAGGCTGACCAATACCCTGAAATCTTGACATGTACTGTCATAAGGCTTTGAAATCCTCAGCTTACCCCATAAACACTTAATTGATTTATTGGCTTCCTTCCTATGGGTTCAGAAACTAAGGACAGGCTCTGTCCAGAGCTACAGTTCAGAGCAGTGAGAGTTCTTAGAGCCCAGATTAAAGTCCTGCACCAACTCCCATAGTTGATTAAAAGAAATTGGGGGGGAGGGGAGAAGAGTATAGGAAGACCTTAATGGGTGAGTGGCTATAGGAGTGGGAATATGAGAGACTTTGCTTTTCTGTTTGTTACTTTCTAAACTGTCTGGCATATAGATGGTTATACTGAGCTGAGCAAATGTGATATATCTACTCAATATTATTTCTCGGATCAGGAAAGCAGCAATCTTATTTGGAAGTTATTTTCCTATTCTTGAGTGGGTAGACAGGCCAGAGGTTCAGGGTTCCCACTTTTCTCCAGCGGAGGGCAGGTAAGCAGAATGATGTGAAAAGGACAAACAGCTAAAGAACCTTCACAGACAAAGAGATTCTTAGAAGAACAGCTTTTGCCCATTGGTGGAGATTTCTAGTCTGCTTCTCAACCCCCAGAGAGTAGATATTGCCACTTGTCACAATCTCATTTTGGCTGACTACATTGGCCCTGTGGTTTTCCTTCTACTTGTCACCTCTTCCATGCCTCCCTTTCCAAGGTGGAGTCCTATGTGCTTGGGGTGGGGGGTGGGGGGAGGGGAGCATACTGTAGCATCACAGTATGGTTGTGAGTTTATCTGTTCACTTGACTGAGGTCCTTCCTCAATGGCAGAGGTAACCCTGTACTTTATGAAGGTGTTTAACAAGCTCATTGCATAATAATTGCTTCAGGAGTTTTCATCATCAGAGCAACACAAAAGCACAACGATGAAAAAGAAACTGTATTCCAAGGGATGTACCCAACCATTGATTGCACAACCAAGCATTATCTTCATTGAGGGTTTAGGAGGTACAGCCAGGCACTAGTGGCTCACACCTGGAATCCTAGTTACTGTATTCTGGGGTCTGAGGTAAGGAAGATCCAAAGCAAGGTTTGAAGCCAGCCAAAGCAGAAAAGTCCATGAAATTTCACCTCTGAAATAACCAGCAAAAAAGCAGGGCTGAAGGCATGGTTCAAGTGGCAGAGCACCAGTTATGAGCATGAGGCCCTGAGCTCAAACTCCATCACTCATTAGGGAGGTGGGGAGCCATATTAAGAGAGAAGCCATCAATGGAAGTTTGGGAAGGTTTTGGACCTTCAATGTTTTTCTCTTCGTGTTTTCTGGCTCCAAATCCCCATGTTGAAATGTTACCATGTGCTTTGTGTGTCAAATTATAAGGATTCAGGCCCATAGGATCTTTATTAAGAGTTGGTCTCATCATCTTTCTTTTTTCCTGCAATTGTCCTAGGAATCCCTACCATTTGCTCTCAATTGATATTTGTGCAATAGCTTTTCTTCCTTTGCTGAAAGGCCATAAATGTTGAGGTTTATTACTGTGTTACAGTGGTTACTTCACTATTAAACCTGTGCCAATGGGATTACACAATGGCTAGGATCAGGAAGCACAACAAGGGTCCTGATCACACTGAAGCTATATGAGATAGGGTTTGGGGATGGTAAAATGTTTTATGCAGGATGGATTTTGGCTAGAGTCCAGTACTGTGGCTCTTGGAGATCACTGCAGCCCTAGGGGCTTGGGGGTGACATTGGGACCTAAAGCATCCTGCCCTCCCCTGGCTGAAATGTGTTCACTTGGAGAAAGAACCCCATGGCCAGGAGCCAGGAGAACACAGCTCGCTGGGCATCAGCTACCCTGGAAGCACTCCAGGAGCTGAAGGGCTGTTCCACTTGCATGCAATCAATTATTTACTTCTAAGGCGATTTATTCTTTATCTCTTTCTAGATTTTTTTTCTCCTTGTTTCCAACTCTTGAGGAACAAGCTAAGGGACAAGATGGCTGGCTGGTGGGGGTTGTTAGGGGTAGGGCAGCTAGATACACAAAAAATGGTTGACCAACATTCATTTACAAATGAACACAGCTGTGGATATGTTGCTTTTATCAGGAAATATCAATATGAATGGGGATGCATGGCTGCTGAGAAGGAAAATAAGATAGAAAGGGAGTTAAAGAGCTTGAGTTCCAAAGGAAACTTAAAAAAAAAAATAAGTTATTATAAAGGTGATATACAGAGGAGTTTCGGTTACATGAGTACATTTCTTTTGGAACAATGTCACTCCTTCCCTCGCTCTCCCAGTTTTTCCTTCCAGTTCCCACTCAAATTACATAGTTCATCTTCCACAGTATCTAGCAAGTACCACTGCAGCATTTGTTCACCTTTTGGCCTTGCATTTCTCTGCCTCCCCTTACTTTCCAAAAGACAAATAGGTGAACAAACAAAAAGAAACAACAAAGAAAAGAAAGTCTCGTTTCCATTTCCTGGAATTGGTTTCGATAACTATTATATGATCAGAGGCACGTGGGCACTGCGTCTTTCTGGTTTTTTTCCCCCCTCGGGGGAAGTGTTTTTAAGATGGTGGTTCCATTATGAGCGAAGGTGGAAGCAATACACCATACTACAAGGAGGGAAGATTCTAGAGCTAGATAGAGAGACCCAGGCCCCAATGCAAGGCCCACCACCGATCTGGGTGACCTTGGGCCCCTTTCCTGACCTCCCTGGAGTCTGTCCTCTACGTCTAAAAACCAAGCAGGATCTAGCCAGAGGACCGGTGCAGAGACCTCAGTACCATCATCGGCACAAAGCAGACGCACGGCCAGCAGCAGACGTGACCATCGCCCACTTCTGCACAAATAAGCAGAGGCGACCACCCGCCCTCCCCCAAGCTCCACGCTGTGCAACCGGCCCCCGGCGCCGCCGCGAAGCCCGGGTCTCACCGACGCACCGACGTGCCCAATAAGGTACCAGGAAAAAAAAAGTGGGTGCAGTCAAACCAATGGCGTCGGCCCTTGTTGCTGGCCGGGCTTTCTGTCAGATCCACCAATAGTCTGAGGCTCTGAGTCGGAGCGACACCCCGACAGTCCAATGACGCCCAAGCAACCCACACAGCCCTTCGCAGGGGATAAACCAAGGAGCCGGCACGTATAGATTCCGTTATTACGCATTACTGGATGGAGAGAGGAGCTTAGGGGAAACTAGGCCTGGGAGAGGCACTAATGAGCTAAGAAAAGAGAAAAGAGGATGGTTGCGCAAAGCGAGCTCGGCCGCCATCATGCTCTAGTTTCCCCTTCGTCTCTCCGGTCCCGCGACCGAGGAAGCGGCCTCTGGGATGCTGAGGGGGTGTGTCCCCGCATGATTGGCGCAGGCCGCTCGGCCAATCCTAGCTCGTCAAACGGGAAGCATTTAGCCAATGAGGGGCGACAGCAGCCGCGAGAAATTGGAGGGGCGGAACAGCAGGTTGACAGGCACAAGCGTCAGCCAGTGAGATCTAGAGGCATCCTCCCCACAGCCAATGAAGTGGGGCTCTGGGCGGGCTCCCGAGTGTTTGTGTTGTGGTTTTGGGGGAGGGAGGCGGAGGGGAAAGTTTGTTTATTTTGTTTTTAGTTTCTGGGGTCCCCGTGCTTCAGGAAGGTGAAGCGGGAGAGAGCGACCCCCCCGCGCCCCTCAGTCCCTCAGCGACGTCGCCTCCATAGCCGGCGGAGAAGCGAGAGCCGCGGTCATCGCCCGGCCCCACAGCGGACCGCCGCGCTCTGGAAGCCGGCGCGGCTCGGCGGTGAGTGGGGACCGAGGGCCGCGGCGTCCTTCCCTTCCCCCTCTCTGTCCTTCCCCCCCCTTCCCTCCCCCTCCCACGTCCCCCTCCCCTTCCCCGCACGCCGCCGGGCCGGAGCGGGGCGACCGCGGGTGGGCCCGGACGCCAGCCCGGGGGCGCGCGGCGCGGCCTGGCCCGGCCCTCCGAGGGGCGGCGTGTGCGTGTCCTCGCCGCCGAGCGCGCGCACCGCAGCCGCGGGCCGCGCGGGGCGGGGGGCGTGGGCGCCGGGGTGGACGAGGGCGGCGGCGCCAGGCGCGCGGCGCGGGGCTGGCCTCGGGTAGCCGGCGAGGCGAGGGCCCCGCGGGGCCCCGTGTGGCGCGCGGCGCCCCGGGGCGGCCCGGCGGGGGCGCGCGCGCGGCCCCGCGTCACGCGCCGGCAGGTGTGAGCCCGGAAAGGGCTTCCGGGTGGGCTGGCGGCGGCGCTTCCCCGCGCCCCGGGGTGGGGGGTGGGGAGCGGGGGAGCTCGGGCCCCTGCCGTACCTGGCGGTGGGAGGAGGCCGGGGGAGCATCGGGCCCCGGGGTCCTCGGCGTCCGGCCCTGTGTGCGGGATCTGTGTGATGGAGTCACCGGGCGGAGGCCCCTGCGTGCGTGGAAGCGTGGGGAGGCGGTGGTGGCAGGAAATGAGGGGCTGGAGGGATGACAGGGTTCGAAGCCACCCTGGGGAGCGGATGCCACCTGCCCCTGGGCTGGTGCCTTTTAGATTTTAAACCAGGGTTGGGGGGTTAGTAGCCCTTAGCGGCCAAATACCGGATCCCGCAAAATACATTTTGAGGGACGGGCGAGTGACGCCCAGAACCGCAGCCTCCGGTCCGCCGCCTCGGAGCCCAGCCCAGCCTGCATTCCGTGGATGCTGGTAGTTGCAGGTCACCGGCCTGGGGCTTAGGATCCTCTCGCTTTCTTATGTATCTTTTGATTATTTTGTTACTTTTGACTCAGTGAATAAAGCCAACCAAGAGTCAGTGAATGCATCATTACGTCCCCAGCAGTTAGAAAGGTGCACAGAAACCCCACATCATCGCGTTTTCTGAGTTTAATGATAGAGGTCATTTTTTTTTTCTCTAGTGGAAGATTTCAGGAGTGTTAAGTTTTCCTGTTAGTTTGGCCAAACATCAGTAATCTTCCCTTTAACACGACGTAGGTTTTTCTGGTAACATGCACTGGACTTATTATTTCTCCTGCTTCTCGGCCTGGCCGCAGGTAGGTAAGTCGCTGTGCTTACTTAGGTTCACGGGCATCCCAAACACAAGACAGACTGACTTGTACTTAGGATGCAATGATGGTAATAATGATGCTTGTATACTTACTTATTTTGTGGTCACAAAATCCTAAACATCATGGTTTGAACAGAGTAGTTTCAGTGTAGGATTAGAAGAGAAGAAATTGCTAAGCTGCTTGTCTCTCTGAACATAAATATACTCCAGAAAAAAAAAAAAGCCCTCTCAAATAGAAGCACTTAAAAACGTTTTGAAATTAGCCATACCATGTATTCAAATGACAATAATAATATCCGCTCACATTTATGGCATGCTTACCATGTGCCCTTTATTTTCCTAATCTTTGACTTAGACCTGTGGCATAGATGCCATCACTGTTCTGGGGACAAAAAAGGCCTCTAAGAGCCATGCAGTGAGGAAAAGCTTGAAGTCTGCATGGTTTCACAGCTGTGTTTGTTTCATTTGCCTCTTAAATTATCCAGAGGAAGAAAGACAGGATGCTTTAGACTGTGAGGGACATGGCTTCAGTTAGGTTCAACCCCAATATTTAAAAATGTAGAAAAGGAGACTGTCATCTGGGGTGCCCATGACTCATGCCTTTAATCCTAGCTCATCCCTCTAATCCTAGCTGCTTTGGAGGCAGAGATCAGGAGGATCACAGTCAATGCTGGCCTGGGAAAAAAGTGAGACCCTATTTCAAATATAACTAGCAAATATATACTAGCAATACCCAAGTAGTAAAGCTCCCACTTAGCAAGTTTGAGGCCATGAGTTCAAAGCTAGTACCACTTCTACCCCTCCCATATACACACACACTCAAAAGAAGAAGAAAAGGGAGAATGCCACTAGTGATTACCTTTTCCTTGCCTAACAGAAGAAGTTAAGGTTAAATTAAGTTCATTCAAGATTTTCTACAGAAGTACATCTAAACTATTGTTGGTTTTCTACTGGGGTGTGTGTGTGTGTGTGTACGCGTGCATGCACGCACACGCACACACACACGCGTGCCAATCCTGGATGCTGTCTCTGAACTTTTTTGCTCAAGGATAGTGTTCTACCACTTGAGCCACAGCTCCACCTAGAGCTGGGGATAAGAGTGTTATAGACTTTCTTGCCTGGGCTGACTTTGAACTGTGATCTTCAGATATTAGGCTCTTGAGCTGTTAGAATTATAGGTGTGAGCCACCAGTAATGAGTTTGATTTTTTTTTTTTTGAAACAGTCTTGTCAGGCCGGCTTGAAACTGGTGATGGTTCTGCCTCAGACTCCCCGGTGGGATACCGGCATATGCCATCACATCTATGAAGAAACTTTTTTCTTCAATTAATTTTTTTGCTTCCTTATTTCAGAGGAAATAAGGAGCAGAGAGCTCTTACAAAGAGATTATGGAGAAAGAGGTGAGGCTACAAGTGGTATAAGAGACAAGAAAAGCTGGAGAATCCTGAGGCCAAGGTCATTGGCTATCCTTCGAGAAACTTCTGTATGTTCTTGTTCCATTAGTCCCCAGCCACCCTTTGTGCCAGGGTGTCTGTTCATTCTTCATAGCTCTCACCACAACTTGTGGATCAGGACCAGACCTGTTTTTTTGGTTTATTTTTTCCCTAGGGCTTGGGCTTGAACCTAGGGCTTTGTGTGTGCTACCTAAGCAAGTACTTGTTGGCCCACTCTCAAGAGCCTGTCCCAAGTGTCAGGCATACAGCCTGACTCCCAGACTCCTAGAAAATAGTTGTTGGTTATATTATGAGTTAGGCTTTTGCTTTTATTATTTATTGTTATCCTGTGGTTTCTGGTAGCCTCACCCTCTGCCTGGGCTTCTCTGTGACTTAGCCTGGCTGATGGAGGGCTTGCCACATAGAACTGAAATGTCTGAAGAGAATGCCAGTCCTTTTCTCGTGTGCTTTGAGCCTCTGCTGTGAGACTTACCACTAAGCCAGACTAGATTTAACCTAAACTGTGCTGAGCTTGTGGGTCCGGTGAGCATTGCACTCTGGTTATGCTGGCTGACATCAGCACTTGCACCTGTCCGTCCTCTCTTGTCTCAACCTGTTCTTGAGTTCTCTCTCCACCCAGCAAGGTGTGTCTGGACACCTCGTATGCTTTCCAGCCAAGCAGCCTGCTTGTCCTTTGATATAGGCAGTCTTTGACATTGACAACTGTTGAGTATTTTGTTTCTACAGATTACCCCCATGCTAGAATGCTTCATCTTTCCTGTGCCCCCTCCTCCCAAATCTATCACAGACACTTAGGATTGAAAGCTTTCAATGGTGTTTTATTGTCTATAGGGTTTACACTTTTTATTTTGTTATTTAAAACTCTCTGGACTACTCCTGTCTAATAGAAATAGAAAGCAAGCCACAAAAGTGAGTTGCATCCATAATTTAAAATTTTCTAGTAGCTACAGTAAAAAGGAAAAAGGAGCTGGATGCTGGTGGCTCATGCCTGTAATCCTAGCTGCTCAGGAGGCTCAGGAGTCTGAGGATCGCAGTCAGAAGCCAGCTTGGGCAGGAAAATCTGTGAGACTCTTACTGCTAATTAACTACCAAAAAGCCAAGCAATGAAGGTGCGGTTCAACTGGTAGAGGGCTAGCCTTAAGAAAAAAGCTCAGAGATGGGACAGTGCCTAGGCCTTGAGTTCCAAGTCCCAGAACACACATATACACACAAAGTGAAATTGACATATGTACCATTTTATTTCCTGAATAAAATATTACTGAAATACTTTATATTCTTTTTTGTTTTTTTTTGCCAGTCCTGGGGCTTGAACTCTGGGTCTGGGTACTTTCCCTGAGCTTCATGTGCTCAAGGTTAGCACTCTAGGAAGTGGTGCTGTGGCTCAAGCGGTAGAGCACTTGCCTTGAGCTGAAGAGCTGAGGGACAGTGCCTAGGCCCAGAGATCAAGCCCCATGACCAACCAAAAAAAAAAAAGACAGAAAAAAAGAAAAGAAGGTTAGCACTCTACCTCTTGAGCCACAGCTCCACTTCTGGCTTTTTCTGCTGTTTATGTGGTACTGAGGAATGGAACCCAGGGCTTCAGGCATGGTGTGCCAAGCACTCTTATCCCTAAAGCCTCATTCCCAGCCCCCTTTACATTCTTTTTTATGTTAAGTCTTTGGAATCTGGAATGTGTTTTTTAGTCAGATCCATCTCAACTCACACTAACCACATTTCAGTTGCTGGGTAGCCTCATGTTGGTAGGTGGCAGCCAACATGTTGGACAGCTCAGCCCTAAGCCATGCCTTCAGCATAGCTGACTACCAGACATGGGTAATTCCAGCCACTGGCCTTTTGATAACTGGATTCACTTCATCTTGAAGCAGCTTCATCATTCCAGTATGCTAAGGGTGGAGATCAGGCGGTGGCTGGCTCTGAAGTTACTGTTCTGTACAACGTAAGGGAATTGAGCTACAAGAAGGAATAACCTTTGAGCAGGCACACTGACCCTTCCTTGAGAAACACAGGGACCCGAGGATCATCCAAAAACTTGTGTTCTTCCATCTCTTCTGTAGTGTCGTAATATAATTAATTTTTTCTTGTTTTGAGATGATAATCTTCCCCTATTGCCAAGTCAACCTCAGACTCTCGGGCTCCGGTGGTCCTCCTACCTCAGCCTTCTAGGTGGACACCACTGTTCCAGGTTTCATGTGATATTTTTATAACACTTGTGTGTCCATTACTCAGAACCAATCTTTATTATATTTACAGCTGAGAAGACATAGACATTGACTAATAAGAATGGGTGTCTGGTGAATTAGA